TATGAGATGGTAATACACATTACTTAAAACAAGGGTTCTATTGTCAGATAGGTTGGGAAATGCTAAATACTCCCTCTTGGATAGTCACAATGTCCATTAGTGTAGTAAAGACTCTGAAAATATGTCAGTAAATACATCTATATAACTTGGTTTCATCCAGCATCTCCCATAGTTTTTAACCACGGAGCCACTTTTCTGTGCAGTGTTCATTAATATCTATGGAATATAAGTGGTACCTAGAACATAATTTAGGATATGGTGATAGAAGCATTGTAGGAGCAATAAAGGATTTTAAGCAGAGGACTAACAAGGCATAGTTAAGATTTAAGAAGAACATCCTGGTGGCAGTATGATGCATGGACTAATTAGAGGGGACTTTACTAGAGGGAGTGGCTATAGTCTAGGAATTGGTGGGGTTTTTGACTAGGTTGTGACAGTGGAGAAGGAGAAAAGGGGTTGGATTAATATTAAAATGGTAAAATGGATAGGATTTGGTGATAAAATATGAGATTGGGAAGGGATAGATTGTTCACCAGGTATTAAGCATGTTGAAGTTAAAGTGCTTATTAGACATTGGTAAGCTTGATATACTGGTTTTGAGGGAAATTACATATGAGGGAAATCTGGGTTGGAAGTAGATATTTCAGACCTGAAATTGTAAAATTTAGAGAAGAGGGTGGGACCCCGCCAAAACCTAATATTTAAGACTTAAGAAAAGGAAAAAAGGTTAATCTAAATAATCCTCTCCCCCTTTTTTTCCAGCTTTATTGAGATATAACTGACACATAACATAGTGTAAATTTAAGGTGTAAAACATAGATGATTTGATATACAGATATATTGCAAAATGATTACCATAGTAAGGTTAGTTAACACATCCATCACCACATAATTACAATTTTTTTGTGGTGAGACCATTTAAGGTCTACTCTTTTAGCAATTTGCAAGTATATAATATATTATGGTTAATTATAATCACCGTGCTGTACATTAGATACCCAGAAATTACTAATCTTATAACTGGAAGTTTGTACTCTTTGACCACCATCTCCCCATTTTCCCCATTTCTCAGCCCCTGGCAACTGCCATTTTATACTCTGTTTTTATGAGTTTCACTGTTGTTTTGTTTTTTAGATTCCACATATAAGTGAGATCATACAACTTTTGTCTTTCTCTATCTGATTTGTTTCACATCTTCTCTATCCGTTCATCTTTCAATGGACACTTAAGTCTTGGCTATTGTGAATAATGCTACAATGAACATACAGATGGAGAAATCTCTTTGAGATAGTGATTTCATTTCCTTCAGATATACACCCAAATGTGGGATTGCTGGATCATATGGTAGTTATATTTTTGATTTTTTTAAGGAACCTCCATACTGCTTTCCCTAGTGGCTGCACCAATTTATATGTCTACCAACAGTGCACAAGGGTTTCCATTTCTCCGCATCCTCTCCAACACTTATCTTTTGTTGTTTTGATAATAGTGATTCTAACAAGTATGAGATGATATCCCCATTGTGGTTTAAATTTGCATTTCCCTGAGGATTAGTGAAGTTGAGCATATTTTAATGTACCTGTTGGCCATTTGTATGTCTTCTTTGGAAAAATGTCCATTTAGGTCTTATGCTCCATTTTAAAATTGAATTATTTGTTTTTGTTTTTGCTATTGAGTTGTATGAGTTTCTAAAAGTTCTCTTAACTTTTGTTCCTTTCTGTGTTTGTTTACTTATTTATTAATTAAATTTTCTTTTCCTTTCTGTGTTTGTGTTTTTTTTTTAATTTATTTTTATTTTATTTTTTACATATCACTGCAGAATTAGAAAGCTGGGACATTTATCCTCTGATCTAGTCCACCACTGAGAATTTCCTCAACCTTGAGAGCTTGGAGTCCCCTTCCATTTAAAAAAAAATAAATATATCTTTATTGTTGAAAGTATGACAAATGTGCCCCCTTTTACCCCATTGATCCTCTCCACCCTGCACCCCTACCCCTTGGCCTTCACCACACTATTGTCTGTGTCCATGGGTTATGCATATAAGTTCTTAGGTTAATCTCTCCCCACCCACTCACCCACCTCTGAGATTCATCAGTCTGTTTCATGCTTCTATGTCTCCGGATCTGTTTTTTTTTTAAATACATTTTTATTGATTTCAGAGAGAGGAAGGGAGAGGGGGAGAGAGAGAAACATCAATTATGAGAGAGTCATTGATCTGCTGCTTTTTGCACTGGGGATTGAGCCCACAATCTGGGAAGGAATTGAACAGCAATCTTCTGGATCATAGGTTGACACTCAACCGCTGAGCCATGCCAGCTGGTCTCTGGATCTATTTTGTTTATTGGTTTATTTTGTTCATTAGATTTCACATATGAGTAAGATCATGTGATAATTGTCTTTCTCTGAGTGGCTTATTTTGCTTAGCATAATACTCTCCCTGCTGGCTCATAAAGTAAGGGATACTTCTTTTTTATAGCTGCATAGTATTCCATGCGTGTAGATGTCTGATAAGAAGATTGATATGATTTCAATCTTCTTGAACTTGTAGAGACTTGTTTTGTGTTCTAACATGGGTTCTATTTTTGAGAATGTCCCATGTGCACTTGAGGAGAAAGCCTATTCTGCAGCTTTGGAGTGGAATATTCTGTAAATGTCAATTAAATCCATCTGATCTAGTGTGTCATTTAGAGTCACTGTTTCCTTGTTGAGTTTTTTGTCTGGATGATCTATCCAGTAAAGTCAGTGGGGTGTTAAAGTCCCTTACTATGACTGTATTGCTGTCAATCTCCCCTTTAAAGTCCTCCAGAAGTTGTCTTCTTTTCAGCCTGTGTAAGTCCTTTGTTCTGAGGTGGGTCTCTTGTAGACAGCATATATTTGGGTCTCGGTTTCTTATTCATTAAGCTTCCTTATGTCTTTTGTTTGGAGTGTTTAACCCATTTACATTTAAGGTTATTATTGATAGGTACTTATCTATTGCCATTTTATTTCTTTATGTCTATATTTCTCATTCTCTCTACTTCAACTTCTTATTACAGCAGTCCCTTTAACATTTCTTGCAATGCTGGTTTGGTGGTGATAAGCTCCTTTAGCGTTTTGTGTGTGTGTGTGTGTGTGTGTGTGTGTGTGTGTTTTGTCTGGAAAGCTCCCTATTTCGCCATCTATTTTTAATGATAGCCTTGCTGAATAGAATAGTCTTGGTTTCAGAGCCTTGTTTTGCATTACCTTGAATACTTCATCCCATTCCCTTCTGGCCTGTAGAGTTTCTGATGAGAAATCAGCTGACAGCCTTATGGGAACTATTTTGTAGGTAACAGCTTGCTTTTCTCTTGCTGCCTTTAAGATTCTCTCTTTGTCTTGGATTTTTGACATTTTAATTATGATGTGTCTGGGCATGGGCCTCTTTGGATTCTTTTTGCTTGGAACTCTTTGTGCCTCCTGAACTTGTGTGACTTTTTTCTTGACCAGGTTAGGAAAGTTTTCTGCCATTATTTCTTCAACAGGTTCTCTAAGACTTGCTTAACTTTCTACCTTTTCTGTAACTCCTATGATGCGAATATTGTTATTTTTCATGTTATCTCACAGCTCCCTTAAACGTCCTCTTGTTTTTTAATTGTTTTTTCTTTTTGGTTCTCTGATTGAGTGATTTTTTTCAACCCTGTCTCATAATTTGCTGATCTGATCCTCAGCTTCCCCTAATCTGCTGTTCATTCCTTCCAATGTTTTTCAATGTATTTCTACTATGTCATTCTTCATTTCCTTCATAGTTTCCATTTTTCTCATGCTGTTGAGCATCCTTATGATCAGTATTATGAACTCTGTATCTGATACATTGCTCATCTCCATTTCATTTAGCTCTTCTTCTGGAGAATTCCTTTGTTCTTTCACTTGAGGCTTGTTTTTTTGTTTCTCCATTTTGGCTGCCTGCTTGGCTTTAAGAAAAACTTAATAAGCATATAAGATAAAGTGGATTTCCCCATAGTACACTCCCAGAAGGTAACAAATACCTTGGGATTATGGTGTTAGAAGACCATCATGATGCCCAAATGACTTATGTGAAATAATTCTACCAACTGAAAAGAAACCCTGAGTGAGATGCCTTTGACCTATCTGAAAGGCATGCTTGTTAGCTCAGTGGTCTGGACATAAAGTAAGCCTTTGTATTTAGAGACAGCAGGTTACCTCACAAAAGTACATGAATGTTTATAGTATCATTATTCATAATAGCCAAAAAGTGGAAATAACCCACAAGTCTATCAGCTGGTGAATGGATAAAAAATGCGGTGTGTATGTTCAATGAAATATTATTTAGCCACAAAGAGAAATGAAATACTGATACATGCTACAACATGGGTAAACCTGGAAAACATTATGCTAAGTGAAAGAAGCCACGCATAAAAGACCACATATTCTATTATTCCATTTATATGACGTGCCTAGAATTGGCAAATCCAGAGACAGAAAGTGGATTAGATGGGGGAATAGGGAGTGACTAGTAATGTGAACTGGATTTCCTTTTTGGGGTTCCTGAAAAATGCTCTAAAATTAGACAGTGGTAGTGGTTGCACAACTCTGTGAATATACTAAATACTGAATTTTACACTTTAAACTGGGTTAAATTTATCGTATGCAAAATATATCTCAATTTTTAAAATGCACGAAGACAACAACAACAGTAAGGTGGTAGCTACTCAGACTTCTTGGCTGTCATTTGAGCCCTCCAGGCCCTGGGAGGTTGGACTGGGAAAGGAGAGCCAGTAGGGAGCCTGTTAGTGAGCATGCATGTCTGGGCTTGAGTGGCCTCAGGATGTCTGCATCTGAGGAAAGACTGAGTGAAGCAACTCAGGGACAGCAATTACAAGGACTCTGTGCCAAGGAAGGAATTCCTGATGCCCTCCCTGACCATATATAGCCCTCCTTCATCTCCCTTTTCCCACTTTTGGAGAGCAGCAAATGAGTCTCCTCTTCGAGGCACTTGCCTCTGGGCACACAGCCCCTTCAGTCACAAGAAAAGCAGCTTTTGAGTCTTTGAGCAGCCTAACAGGGCCTTGTGCTCGTCAAATAGTTTGTGCAGGGCTTCCATATAGAGCGCGTGGTATTTGTCCACCACCTCCTGGCTTGGCTTCTCAATCTTGGGTACTGGCAAAGGCTCCCCAACTGCCAAGAGAGATGAGAAAGGGCAAGTGTCGGAATCTTGTGCTCTGTAAGCCTCTTTCTCTTTACCTGGGCCTGATCCTCTAGCATCCCAAATCAACTCCTAGCTTCTCCCCCTCCTCTGCTCTATTCTTTGGTGGGGACAGTGGGGTCAGAGCTCAGGTGGAAGTTGAAAAAGAGTGAGGCGTCCTTGGGTTGAGAGCAGCACTCACCCACAGTGGTGATAGGCAGCGGGTATGGCAGGAGCCCAGCAGAGCCTCTGCGGAAGCCTCGTCCATAGAAGACACAACAATAGAAACCAAAGAGACGGCGAAAGTGGCTCTGAAACTTAAACATCCAGCTGTCCTTCTGGTACAGTACCTGTTCATATACCTCAGTTTCTCCAAAAGTGAAGGTAGGGACCAGATGAGCGCTGTAGGAAAACTCCCATTTATTTCCCAGACACAATCTAGGTGGAAACCACTCAGGAAGAACACTTATTCATGGGCAGGCCCCCATCCATTATGAAATCCCTGTGGCACAAGTATTTCTTCTTGCACTAAACAGAGCTCCCACACTTAATGTCTCTTGTCCTGAAATTTTCAAGGCCAGTGAAAGTGCTATCTCTGGGCCAGGATCACAGGGGCAAGATATGGGAATGCAGGGAAGGAAGAAGAGTTTGGGCAGAGACTCCCAAAGACCCACATCGCATAAAGAAAAGCTTCCAGGAAGTGTCAGGGAGGGGAATAGCTGACTCTGTTCCTACTGAGGAAACACAGAGATGATGATAATTTTGCACAGATGTGTCTATATGATATGCTCCTCACCCACAGAGACTATGCATAATGTATTCTGTCCTTGGGTCTTGGGATTAGCACAGGGAAAAGTTGTTTCCCTCTCATAGGCCATGGGAATCCACGCTGACAGTGCCCCAGGTAGGGAATCAGGCTCCTTAAGTCTTTCTTTGAGAGAAGCATCAAGAGAACACAATCTCTCTTATACAAATCTTTGAGTTACTAATAGCAATCTCTCAGCACTCTGACCAATGTTACCTTAATGGTTCTTCACAGCAGAGACAGTGGAGGACACAGTGGGGGGTTATTTTCTTTATCTTCCAAGTCCAGAAGCCCAGGTTTGGAAGTGGGAAGGTCACTCAGGTGTTCAGTGAGTAGCAGGACCTAGACTAGGACCCCAGGACTCCTCCCTCTGAGTTCAGAACTCTCTGCCCCTACATTTGCTCCAAACTGATCAACAGACCACTCAGGCACGGTCCTTGGAAGAAATGCTTCCCTATTTTCTGAGTCTGCAGTAGGACAATTACCCCTGTATCCAGTGAGTTGCCTGCTGACCTGGTGGTACAACCTATAGCTCCAGCCTTGGGCTTCTGCTCATAACCTCCTCTCTTTACCCCAACATCAGGGTGACTAATGTTTATCCATCGCTTATTGTGTGCCAGGCACATGGTCCGTGTTTTATGAACACGAATTCATTTAAACTCCACATTAACCCAATGAAGTAGGTACAATTATTAGTAGCCACATTATAAAGATGAAAACATGAAGGTTCAGAATGGTTGATTAACTTGTCCCAGAGTGCCTGGTAAGTCATGGAGCCATGATTTAAAATCAGGCCCCTGACTCCAGATCCTGGTGCATACTGACCATACTGTACTATCTCTTGCATTTAACATTAACAGGCAAATATAGATATTGATGTTGATAGAGATAATGTAGGAGTCCTCTATATACTAGGGCAGCTCTAGCCAATTCTCCTCATAATGAATCTGGGTTTGCAGTTTGGCTTGCTGGGAACAGGTCCAGTTAGCTCAGAAGGAATAGCTGACCTGAACCTTTTTGAAATTCTATGACCATCTGCCCTACTCACTAGTAAGTTCAATGAGGGCAAGAGTCATGTCTCATTTATCTTGGCATCGCCTACCAGGCATGCTGCCCAGAGAAGGCCACCCACCCCTGCCCTGGGAGGAACACCTACCCATGCTGGAGGGCAGTGCGCACAAACCCCTTGCGCTTCCGGAGGATGAGGGTAGTGGTGTTGGGCACACTTTGCAGAGCTTCACCCACACCTCCCACTACAATGCCCACGAGGTTGCCAGTGCCGTGGCTCAGCAGGTAGTCGATGGCTGGCTGACTCACGGAGCACACACCTGAAAAGAATCAAGGAGCACAAAGATCAGGAGAAGAGAAAAGACAGAGGGAATACCCTCTGCTCTACTCCTCACTGGCTTGTTTGTATGCCCTCTGTTAGCATGCATCCCAGGAGGAGAGATAATGAGATAGGACAAAGGGTGTGGAGAAGAGAAGGATGTGGGCACACAAAACACAATTCACTTTGAAGCAATATCTCCACTTTGCAGGAGGCACTGGATCAGAACTATAGCAGGAAGGATAATCAGAAGGACTTTCTGAATTCCACCATAATTCTACTCCTTTCTTTTCCTTTATCACCATTAATTGCACCAGTGATTATTTATTGAGCACATATTTTGTGGCAGGCACTATATTGAACACTTCACTTGTATTATCTTATTTAATTATCACACCACATCTGAGGTCAGACTATCAGCAGCAGCACCACTTTACATATGAGGAAACTGAGACCAACAGAGTTTCGGTAGGTCACCCAAGACCACAATTTAGCTCCAGAACATATGCTTTTAACTACTATGCTATAATGAT